CAGTCCGACTTTTCTCTACCTCGCTTCATCACAGCAACATATATATGGGAAGCACTCCATAAAATACCTGGGGCCAAACCTTTTGGAGCAACCTATCGGCTGAAGAAATTCAATTGTCAAAAGTTCGTAGCCAGTAAACCTGAGTAGATCGTTAAGTTATCCTCAATTCATTTATTCCCAGTTTCTATCTCTCCAACAACAGCAACTGTACAATGTTTCTGTTAGCAATGTTATAAGTATGCATTAAATTTTGTTAGAATACCAAATGATTCAAGACTAATTTTGACAACCTTGTTACCTGAGTCCTCACCTAGAGAAGACCCCTGGAACGAGGTTGGAATTTTGTATTATGCGACGCCAATTCCCCTTTAGTAAACGGTCGTTGTCATTTTTAACTGTCGATGCCGTCATTGGTAACCAATAACTTTTTAGTCATGATAGATTGATATATTCCCTGGATTAAGTTGCAATAAGGCAAGTACTACAGTACATTTTTAAATAGTCTTAGAAAAAAAGACGTCGAAACTCAAGTCGACTTTACGTTTAAAGTTATGGAAAGGGCAAGGGTCACCTGTAATTGATGTATACAGTTTAATAATACAATAATAATAATACAAGAATTTGTATAGCGCCATTTCCGTCAGCTCAATGGCGCTTTACAATAATCGTAGTTCTAAAAAAAAATAAAAATATTTGACTCATTACAGAGAATATATAACAGTTGTAGAAATAAATTTCTAAAAAATAAGATACAATCGACTTGCTAAGATTAACTAAGGAAAATATATACAATAAAAGAAAAATGGGTGGCAACTAACCAATAAAAACCTCTCTAAAAAGTAGTGTTTTAATCTTATTCTTAAAAACATCAAGGTTCTGGATTGATCTTATGTCATCGGTTAGGGAGTTCCACCTGGGCGCAGCAACTTAAAAAGATCTGTCACCGTAAAACTTGAGATTAGACTTTAGTCTTACAAGCAGATTTTTTAAGAAGATCGTAATTGCCTGGTCGGAGTATAGGGCTGAAGGAGATCTGCTATGTAGTTTTCTAGTTTATGTACTTTAATTTTCCGGACATTTGGCGGGTCGGTGTGGTAGTGTAGTGGTAAGGGAGAGAGATTAGGATACGAAAGGTCCATATTCGAGGTTACGATCTTCTTTCTTTTTAAAAGAATCACTCTCAATAAAAGGTCAAAAATTTTCTAACTGTCTTAAACATGACAAGGACCGTTTACGAAAGGGAAATTTGCCTTGGCGACATGTCGTTGCAACACGTCGCGGCGACAAATCACTCCTTGTCTACACGTCGGGTGACAAGTTGCGCGACACGCTGCAACGACAAATGGCTTCATATCTACTGGAGAAATTTGTGAAAATATTTTTCTCCCCAAAAAATCTTTTTCACCGCAAAAAGTTTAAGAAATTCAATCTGAATTGATTAGTAGTAATCCATGTTGCCATGGCAACGATGAAAATCTTACGTATCATGTAATAAAAGTAATATCTTTTTTCCTTTTCTTTACTGTCATTTTTATGTAATCGTGTTCAATCTATAAAGAAATAAATAAACAAGCATCATTAAAAGAAATAAAAGGGGTTAAGGATGAGATATTAACCCTATTAAGAACGGGGGAGGGGCTTTAGAGGGCCCCCCTCGCTAAAAAGTTGAATAACCTCAAAAC